CATGTACTTGTATGACGTTCCAGACTTGTCGGTATCCCTGTCGACACTTGCTGATGGTGCATTTAAAAAAGGCGTGTTTCACAGGTAAAATACCCTTTTTTGAAACTTGTATATTCATTTACACGTAAGATATACTAGGTTGCCACCTGAAGTATTCCCTATTTTATGTCTTTAATATTGCGTGCATAATTCTATTTCCGTTTACCGTTCCACCTTTTGTAGTTAATCATGTGCTGCAGAAGTGTAAACGATGGACATGGTCTCGCCACTCGTACGCAATTCCAAGCACGTCAGCTATTGTGCCGCTAAATCAATGTGACTTATACGTAACCAATAGGAGGCTTATTAATGCGGGCCTGACGAGAATTTGTGACAAATATGGACGGAGGTTTGCCGCAGAGTTCGCTGGAGAAGTAGTCGCTCAAATCAACAATGTTCTTGATGTGTAAATTAAATACTTTCGTATTACAATAAGAATAAACTTTTCGTATTAAGATTGTTGCCTTTCTGTTCGTGTGTTCGCGTTGGGAGTACGGCGTGCTAGACCGGTGCTCCCTAGGATATGAATTCCTTACTATACGTAAGTGCTATTCTGTAGGAACACTTTCCACCGATATAAGTCGTGAATTATAAGTACCTCAGTCACGTCGAAAAAATCTGAGATTACGTCTCCTAGTCATAGATAAATCTGTAGGGACTAATGACAAAAATATCTAACTTCAGTGTTTGACAAATAAGAATGGGACTTAGGGCCCTGCCGTTGACTTCGATTTCGTATGAAGTTAAGTGTAATCAAAAGTACTGTATTACTACTATTTCACTTAGAGCAAGATGTCAATCCATATGACTACGGGTGTTAACATACAGTGTAAACTGAAGTCTACACGAGAGGAATAATTTAATAGGTTGGGATGTAGCAATGTTAGTACGATTTCGCCGACGTTGAATTATGCCTACAATCAGTTTCTCAGGCCCACATCTCGTCATAATGAAAAATTTAGTTTCACTGAGATAGAATAAGAAAAGTATGGTAAGCAGGATGTTAAATATATTTCATGGAAAATATTAAGGGAATGTCTTCACACAATTGTTTTTCGTAATTACTGCTGGGATGCGTAATTGCTGTGACCTGGTTGACTGACTTGACCGAACATCTACAAGTAAGTGAATAAAGTATAATTTTTAAATCGTTGAAGTTAGAAATAAGTAATGTAAAAGTGAAACGCTTTATATTCTCCTACCTTTGCTGAAAAAAGGTTCATTCTCCTTTCTCATTCTTTGGTCAGGACAGCATTCTTCTGCGGTTTTCACTGTGACATACATTGTTCTTCTTCTAAAGTATAGCACCAAGCAAATAATAACTTAATATACTGTATAAATGGGTGTTTACAAGGAATGCATGACATCTCTACAGGTACAATAAATTAGGCTATAAATTACAATCGTGAAGTATCGTAAATTAAAACTTTTTCAAAAGCTTACATTGTTCATTTATTGTACAAGCAATTACAACAGATTACAATAAAAGTTAAACTCCGGACCCTTCACAATGAACACTGCATATATATCGGTAAGTGCTATTCCCTCACACAATTAAAAGGTATTCCAGGAGGAGAACAGCATCCTGAGAAACTGCAGTAGTGTTTTCTAGCTATTCGGAACTTATTCCTTTGATGCTGTTTCTTAGCAACAGTTTGCAGTATTCATAGTGACTTTAGAGAAAAGTTTATCATATCTTCACTTTCACCAACTGTCCCTTCAAGTACAATAGCATGCAGTAACTACATACACACAAGCATTGCAACTTAAACATCACAAAATCCCTACAGATAACTTGTTTCATAATAAATGCTTTAGAAACATGAGCCATAAGTACACCTTCCATGTCATTCATAGTCACAAGTAATTCATTAAGCATATCAGAATATGTTAGTGATGTGAACATGAAAAATTATTAAGACTGATATAACTGAAGTAACACGTTTAGTAGTTGTAGGACATACCTGCGAGCTACTATTCTACAGAAAGGTGATTCCAATTTGAAGCAGTCTGGCATTGTATAAGCACCATCTATACTATTCTTCCAGCACAAATGCACAATGATATCGAGATAATCTGATGCAATGTAATGCACTCAGCAATTACGGTCTCCCCAATTTCTATGTGACAATGTAAATTAAACTAGTATCACATCTTCAACTGAGCCATTTTAACTAGGAACTTCACAGAAATGGATAAAATCACCAGGAAATTCAGCAGATTGTCTCATTCATCGCATACTCTCTTCGATGTGTTATGGAATATTTCAATCATCACGGATGATGATAAAAAAGTGTTTGCTATCCTCAAAATGTATATTTCCCTTGTGTCTGTGGGCTAGTTCTCCTTCATATGTCTCGTTATCATAGAATAACTGCTATGAAAACAACCATTGTATATACCTAATTTTCAA